ATAATATCTAGACTAACAGGGAGACTTGCGTGATTATGTTTTGATTTTATCAAGCCCATATTTCTAAGTTTACTCCAAATTTGGCCTGAATTATTGAGGGAACTTAACTGATCAAAAACTCGGCTTCTATAAAAGGTTAAAACAACAGGTTTTTATTACATAATTCAATAAATTATTGTTAGTAAATATACTGCCTTGGACTTGAGAATTTTCCGTTCAAAGATAAAAAATCTTTTCCAGTCTATGCAAAAAGTATGTTCTCACTCAATACAAAGGAACGTCAAAAACATTGTTATAAAGCATATTTTTAAAATTTTGTTTTAAATAATTTTATCTTAATCGGATCAGCTTATTATAAATTTATGGCTCCATAATTGTGCTCTGAGTTTAAAAATGTAATAAAAATTATCAGTTGATTGTGATAATGAATAATGAGATAAATAGGTTAAAAAATGAATAATTAAAAGCAGATCCAAGCTCATGAGCAAGTCATTCAGCGCGAGCGTGTGTACACAAGAATTTTAAGTCTGACAATGAGTCATGTCTGGTGTTGGTGGCAGCGCCAAACATGATAATTAGATGAGAAAAAAATTATGCTGTCCTAAACATAAAATAAATTCATTGCTGTGCACACGCAAATGCAGATACAAATTTTAAAAATATGATATATAACGTCATGTTAATAGATAAAGTGAACAAACAAGCGAAGAAAAACTTAAGTCATTAACTAAAATGCGGCGGATTTTATCTGGGAATTTTAGCAAAATTCTTGCTATTGGTTCAACTATGCCTTATTCTTTTTCTCAAACAAATTGTTTTTAACAATTAAATGTAAACAAATAGTGTAACAATTGGATAAATAAAAAATAATAATAATAAACGCAGAATTATTAATGAACTGGAACTAGATAGATCATAAATTTTATGGTAGAATTTCACGATCGAGGGTTGAAATTGACAAGAAAATAATTTTTGAAAAAAGATTATTTTTGTACTAATTTTTGTCAAAATGTTTTCGCAGCTTATGAATTATGGCTGCAGCCCGCAGCCGAAACATGCAGAGTAGGATATTGTTTTATTTCTGAAACAATAAACAACTCACAAAAACCCATCAAGGATTTTAAATTCAAATCACCATAAATTTTATGATTACATATGACTTGTAAATTTGTCAAGTGACTAAAATGACTATTTCAATTCCTATAATATGTCTTACTGTTATAATAAGTAGTGGCCGCAAAATCAGGTTGGCGATTACACTTGTGTGTTCTTTGGGCCTTAAAGGCCGTAAAGACGGCCATTTTAGCAAATAATTAGTCCGATGAAAAGTAGGATGCGCTCAAATACAGCCAGAAGATGATATGATGCATCAGATGCATGATTGTCATGATTGCAATAAAGATCAGCAGCAGCAAAAGTTGCGGCAAGAGAATACCTGAAATAAATTATATTTCATTTTTCTTTTAGAATAAGCAATAATAAAATCAGCTATTACTGAATAAGAAGGCAAGTTGCTGACTACGCCATGGGTGAGGATTTCTTTCCTCATCACCTCCGTTTGATGAGCCTGCAGGTACCTGAGTAATGTCTTGGGTTTCAGGGTTGAGATTCGGATTGTTTTCTGGAGCGTTGGAAGCCTCATCAATCGATTTGAATGGGGTTGCACCGGACGGATAATGTTTCCTGCTCTGAAATTTAAAGCAACATAAATTTTATGACAATAGATAATTGTTTTATAATTAAATATAACCAGTGCTCTAATCTTAGTAAGCAAGGCAAAGTGCTCCAAGGTATAACACATTTCAAATTAAATCCAACCACGCACATGTGCTTTTGAAATATTTTCTTGAGTTTAAAAACATGATTGCGATTGGAAAAATGAGACATTATTTTATTATGTAATAAACACATTTGTGACATATATGTAAATGCAGTAAGTAAATTACTAGGCAAATCACAAGCATAGCATTTAAACCAATAAGGAATAAACAATACGCAACCAATAATAAATTGTGAAATACAGAGAAAAATGTGAGTCTGTTTATAGCGTGTTATCTTCAAGTTATTATGTATTGGGATATTTTCTATAATTGCGATTGTGAGATCAGAATAATTTGAATGATTAATATAATAATTGTTGTGTATTCACACGAAACACTTAAGTACATACTCTGAAATACAACAGTTGACTCCTCTGCAGCTCCTTTTCTTTTCACTTATTGATTACAAAAAATTAAAATTATCATTAATTTTTTGCTTGGTGTGGTTGAAAAAGTCTTACTTTGCATATTTTGGGCGTGGAAATGGAGAATTGTTGAATTTTGGTTGATTCATGGTGATTTGAATTTAAATCGGCTTTGTTTGTGTTTGGTTTTCCAGGTATAAAGATATTTTTAAGGAAATACTTTGAAGTCATTTGTCGCCACTACTGTCTGCATACTTTTTACATTTTGTTCGCGTCGAAGCTGATATACGTGTGGGTGCTTAGTTTTTGGGGACGGGTTTCAATATTCTTACCAAAAAAATTAATTTGGTAAAAAAAATCAGCCTTTATTGTCAAAAAATTTTTATTATAAAATTAGAGCTTTAAAGATCTTTTCACAAAAAATTGTTGATTTGAAAAAAAAAATTAAAGATTGATTTTTGTACGTTTTCTTGTGAAAATGATTTCACAGATTATGAATTATGGCTGCAGCCCGCAGCCAAAACATGCTGAGCAAGATATTGTTTTTTAACAATAAACAACTCACAAAACCCATCGAGGAAAAGCTGATTTTAGATTCAAATCACCATGAATTAGAATTATTAAATTTTGATAGAATGTTTTCAATAATTATATAAAGTTAAAATTATCATCCGTGAAACCGACTCGCTTCAAATCGAGCGGTCATAAAGTCTCATTATTCAGTTCTGAAACTGACTGAGAGGCCAATGTAGGCAACGAATCATAGTTAAACGCCTTTATAATCTTTTGAAGCGACTCAGAAATTATACAAATAAATTATATGGCTTACAAGGTTAGTTACAAGACTTTGTGCAGCTGCGAAAAGGATGAGGAGTGAAAATTTCATTTCCAGTAGTTTTTCCATTTTGGTCCGACACAATGAACACAACACAAATGAATAGAAGATAAGGGGAAACAGTGAATTGCTATTTTAATTGAATCATCTTTTGATTAAAAAAGTCTTAACACGCATAAGTGGGCGGGTGGCGGCTGGTTAAAAAGTCTTATTATGCGTCTCTAATGAACCAAACAGAAAAATCAAGAATAACCAACTGAACCGTGTGAATATTTGAATTCCCACTTTTGTTAATCAATTCAGTGACACAGAGAGATTTTATAGATGCAAATTAAATTAAACAATGGATGATGGTATATGTCATTAATGTAGCATGTTACTTTTTAACTTTATTTTAGAAATTTTAAATAAACTTATGCAAAATTCTAAGCTGAAGAATAAACTGTTCTTTTTCTTTCAACTATAATATGAAAATTAAAAAATAATAAACAAAAAAATATTTTAGATTAAAAATTATATCTTTATGAAAATTGTTTATTATATTATATTTTTAGATACTTTGAAAAACTGTTAATTATATCCTAATAATAGATTTTTCCATTTTATATTCTAGAGGGGCATTAATAAATATTTTCTTAAGAAAATCTCTAGATAGAAATTCAGTATAGTTACAGTATATTATCCACAGATTGGCAGAATGGAAAGTCAAAGAATTTCCCGTTTGCTGTCTGTCGAATAAATAAAGAAAGTGCACGCGGGGTTACCCCCTAATAAATCATGAGCGAAATTAGGTAACATTAATCAAGAACCAGAGCAAAAGCGGCGCGCAGTCGACCAACACAATACAACACCCCGTGCAGCAGCAGGGGATGAAAATATATACAGCGTGTCTGCTTCTTTCTCGTTTTGCGGCGCGCGCGTTGGAAACGGCCAATTTCTCCCCGTCGTGAGCGCGCAGAGTGAAAGCAACCCTTGGCTCTCGGTTGGGCAAGTCACACGCAAGGTGGCACCCCATTTCTTCAAGGGGTGGTTTTATTTTTTGCTGACCAGCGTGAACAAAAATTTGGCGCAGCACGAGTCCATGAGGGATGTGTGGGAAGGAAACAGATGTTTGATATTACGGCAGCTCAAAGGTGGTCAAGCGGCAACAAAAAACACACCCTTAATGATGAACCTCCCCCGCTATACGCGCTTTCTCGAGGGAGCCTGAATGCTTTTCTTATTTCTGTTTGTCATTAGGGCGTTACGGTGGCCACGGCATTCGACAATAATCATCACCTCTTACCTCATCGCCCGCCGTATCGCTTCACTAAACACTCAACCGCACGCACCCTGCTGTATCGCCACCCTAATTGCGACGCGTGGGTTGCATTTTAAATAGATTTATTTTATAGAATGATTAGGCATCAGTTCCTCAATTAAATGTGATATGGGTTATGGCCCATTGCAATTGAACAGCTATTTAAACTTGTTTAATTGTTAGAAAAGATGTATTATTTATTGTGTTAATGGCTTAAATTTAAATAATAATAAAATGTGTTAATGATTAAAAAATTTAGCAAAATAAAAAATTATACCAATAACTTCTCGAAATATATAAAATTAAATTGATATTAAAAATAATAATAAGATTTAAATATAATTAAAATTATATAGTCATTTAAATACCTAAGTTTATATTTATATATATATAAAATTATTTTTTTAAAAATAATAAGTTTTATTTTTTGAAATAATATATTCACCACTATAATTATTATTTTCAATCGTAAATTAATTTACCCTCTATCTTCAACATTTTGCAGTCTTGAAAAAAGTATGTAATATAAAGTTTGGTGACATCTGTTAAAAAATTCATTCAATTTTTTTTGCATAAAATATAGCAAGACTATGGGGATTATTACATTACGCAGCAGAAAAGGGTTAGAGACGTTCGAATGCTTAATTATTTAATTCAATTTATTGTGAGAAAAATTTCAAATAATCATAAGTTCTTTTGTGTATCTTGATTATTTTTTATTTATTACGCAGGTCAAAAATAAATTCTTGATAAACAAACTGTACAATAAACAAGGTTGAAATATAAAAAGGTAAAACATAACTAATGGGAACCACAGCCCAAAACCAAACAATCATTTAATTAAAACCCAAGTTCTTCCTGGCGTAAAATAAAATGTATGGTGAGAGAGTCTTAGATTTAGGGGGCTGCAGCAGTTCGTCAAACTCGGATTCGGTCAGCACATGCACATGATCGTCATCACACTCGAGCCACTTGGCCTCGGCAGCGATTTCATCGGGCAGCGTGAATTTGGCTCCGCAACAATCTGCAGCAGGGCATGCGCCACTCGGAGAAGAACTGCTTTTGTCCGGTTTCCGCAGGAATTTGCGAATGCCACTCGCAGGAGCATTGATTGGAGGTGGTTGCATGGTGGGCGGTTGGCACTGGGAGTAATTTTGCTTGACTTCGGCACGGACATATGCCACGTAGTGGCCAGAGGCCATGGTGCTGCCCAAATGCATGATCACAGCATACAGCTGGAAAGCATGCTCTGGGTTAGGGTTCTCGCTGGGGCATGACTCGCAGAAGCAGTCAAGGATCAACGGGGTGGGCATGAAGTCCAGCATCTTCTTAGAAGAGAAAACGGAGCTGGAAATTAAATTTACCGTCATTAAAAAATAATTCCATTATAAAAATTTATTTACAGGAATTTTTAAACTAAGTGCACTATATATTCTCCAAATTTTAGTAAAAAAAAGCTGAAAAAATAATACTTCTTCTCGGGTTTCACTCAACTTTTATGTAACTTATTTAATATTTTAGACACAATTTGTGTTATACCTGGAATCAGTTGAAAATCTTTTGATCTGTAAGACCATCAAGTTCGGCAACAGCTCATAGCTTGTACACCTGCGGACTTCGTTGTGGTGCTTGCACACTTCACACCAGTATTTGTTCTGGCCATTGATGTTTTCGCTGCTCAGTAGTAAAGAGCGATACAGCTTGCTCGGATTTTCTTTAGCGTCAGCATTGTCGTTGCTCTGACCTGTTGCATAATACGTTAGAAATTTAAAAAAAATTCCCTTCAATCAGTTTTAATATATTACCGTCAAGGTCAGACATAGGGACACAAATATCCAAAAACTTCTCCTTTCGTTCAGTGGAGCCCTCGCATTCCAAGCAAATTGTTCTAAGCACCGTAGTCCCTTCGAGTTGCTTGACAAAGTCCAAATCGAGCTTCGGCTTGGCTACTTCCTGTGCTGGGGTTTCCTCTTTCACCTTTCGAAATTTATTTATTTACCATAATTATTATCCTGATCAATTCACGCACCTCTAGCTTGACCTTCGTCTTTTTCTTTTTACTCCAGGCCGAGAGTTTGTTCTGAGGTTTGGGACTCGGCGTCGCTGGAAGCTTTTTTTCTTCAGGTTTTTTCTCAAGGAGTTTTGCAGAAGCGTCTCGAATAATGTCGAACAAGCAGACAAACAACTCATGGGCGTCGTGTTGTTGGTTGCTTTCAAACGTTGGGTACAAATCTCTAAATAGAAAATTTTATCAATATATTCATCATTGTCGCTTTAATTTATAAAAATTATTGGTGAAAACGATTGACTTTTGGCGTTGATTCGTTTTGCAGAATTCTCACCTGAATGAGGAGAGGAACATGCTGGGAGAAAACGGTTGCTGCATTTTGTTTTTGCTGTCCTCGTTGCCTTTGAGCGTGGTGAAAAGCTCGTGCAGCCTCAAGTAAGCAGCGTGAACCTTTTCTGTTCGGTTTAGAATATCGTCATCTGCCACACTTTGCTGGCCGAGCTCCTTCGAAACGTGGTGCATGTTGTGCAAAAAGTTAGGCGTGAACCTCAGTGTGTAGAGCACACTGTTCAGGTAGCACGTGTTGCCCATATTGTTCAAGGTTGCAATCGGAGACGCCTTGACCTTTCGACTAGGGGTCAAAGCATTGCTCGAGCTGCTGACTGAAGATTGTATGAAGTCGCTCGAGGTTGATGAGGAATACTTGTTATCAAGATTTTCATTCCTAAAGTGAGACATGTTTTAATTTGCAAAAAAAAATATCATATTGGGGACTAACTTGTTCAGACTCAGCTTGCCCCCGGCAGTGAGGGCTGGTATATTGACCAGTGCATCCATGGCTGAGAGATTTGATGCTACCGGTGAGGGTTTAGGACTTCGAACTCTATCACTGTTCAGGCTCAGGCAGAGGCGTTTGCGTTTGAATGGCACTGGTGGAGGGTCCCCAGTAGTGTCTCCAGGTAACACTGTCATATTGTCCAGCCCTAGAAGAACAACACAAGTTTAGATAGATAGAGTATTTATTGAACACAACTAGGTGTACAACGGGTGTCTAAAGCTAATTTGTCTTCCTAAAATTAATTTTACAATTAAGCTTGTTTCGATAATTATTACAAAGTACAAAATTAGTTAATTTTGATTTTTGCAGCCTCTCTTAGGCTTAGTTTTCGTTCATTACATTCAAGAATATGATATTGTGAACATTTCTTACCGCAGTGCTTGCATTCACAATCTATTGTCGCTTGAGAATGAAAATTTTTATTCTTACAAAATAAATAGTGGTACCCGTGACAGGCAAATCTCGTAAACACTTGGCGATCACTGAACATTGCACATTGCCAATTTTTATTCTTCATAGTTTCTGTCTCGTAGAACTCATCACATATCTCAAGTTTGTTTAAATATTTAGACACACAAAATTTCTGGAATGCTTCAGTTTCAGTTAGAGAATATTTTACCTGTAAGTCCGATACAAAGAGATCAGTGTCAACTAATTCATACACAAATCTAGATCTAATATACTTGGACAGTCCTAAAACTCTTTTTAAATATCTTGTTTTGACTTTTTCAAGATTTTCAAAATCAGTCTTTGTTAGGAAAGGCCATATTTCTTCAATGCCGTAGGACGCAATTGGGGAAATTTTTAGATCAAATAGCTTGTGTGCTGTTTCAATGGATAATTGTTTTAGTTCTCGTATATTATAAGTGGCCAGCAATGCAGCTCTTGTTCTTTTTTCAATGTGCTTTCCAAAAGAGATTCCTGATGGTTGAAAAGTAACTCCTAAATATGTAAACTCAGCAACTCTCTCTATTTCAATTCCACCTAAATCTAGGCGGTCACTTAATGCATATTTTCCTAGACCCTTATTTCTAAATTTCATGAATTTGCACTTTTCCAAGTTAAGTTTCAAACTGCGTTTTAACAAAAATTCTTTCATTCTGGCTAAAGCAATTTTCAAGTCACTTAATTTTTCTGAGGTTAAAACAATATCATCTGCATAATAAATGGCTTTCACGTTTGGCAAATCTCGTAGAATATTATTTATATCAGCTAAAGAGTAATTGAACAGAAATGGGGACGTGCATCCCCCCTGTCTTACCCCATTTGATTGTGTAATAAGTTTTGATACTGTTACTCCATCTACTATTCTCAAGAAATTTAAGTCTAAGTTGTGAGCTAAATAATTTAACTCCGTGAACGTTAGCTTCTTGCTTTCTATTAACTTCTTAAAAATAAACGCCCTATCTATTGAGTCAAAAGCTTTACTTACATCCAAAAATAAGGCATATAAGGGTGATTTCTTCTTATAAACTGTCTCTTGAATGTTATTAACTAAGGACTTAATTGCCTGTAAAGTGGATTTTCCTTTCACAAAACCATATTGATTGCCTGGAATCTCGTGAATCAAAGATGAGTAGATACGTGCATGCAGTACACGATCTAACAGATTGTAAAAAGCCGAACTAATACATATTCCTCTATATGAATTTGTATTTTCCGCGTCCCCTTTTCCCTTATACAAGAGTTTTAGATTTGACTGCCTCCATTCCTCTGGACATGTTCCTAGCTCCAAGCATTTGGTGAAAAATTGCGTTATTTCGGGGAGTAAGGATTCAACAAGTAGTTTAATATTTTCATTCTTCACTTTGTCAGGTCCAGGGGATTTCCCGTTTTTCATTTTCTTTAATGCTAACAAAACTTCTTCTTCCATAATAGGTGAAAAATTTATATCATTTCTGTAATCTACTATCATCTCTTTCAGATTTAAAGATTCATTTTCACTCAATTTTTTCTCGTTGAAAATTTTTTCAAAATTGCACTCCCATTCATCCATCATTATATTGTTTGTATTGTAAAAACTTTTGCTCAACTTGAGAATTTTATAGCACTTATTCTGCTCCGCCTCTTTTAAAATGTCCAACTCCTTCATTTGCACAAAAGCGTTCTTCTTCATTTCACACACATTTTTGTAATTTCTTTTTATTGCGGTATAGTGCGGTAATAGAATCTTGATTATACTAGTTACATTTAAACTTTCAGCCACTTCCAAGCACTCTCTCCATTCGTTCAATTTCTGTTTTAATTCGTAGCATTCAGAATCAAACCACGGTTGACTAATCCGTTCAGTTTGCCTACGAGGAATGTCGGCCTCTTTCATAATATTTATCATATTTTTATAAAACTCTTCAACGTCCCCCTTTTCCAGATTTGTTCTTAGAATATTTTTATATTTAGTCTCAATAAGCTCTTTAAGTATGTTTTCATCTAATTTAAAATTTTTCTTATTCAAAGACATGTCCCCATTTCTGTTCTTTTGTTTTGTGAAATTAAATTCTATTGAAATAAAATTATGTTTTCTTATGGTTGGGCAAATTTTAAAATTTTCGGTGTAAATTTTTGGCCCTTTGAAGATTAAATCAACCACACTATGACCATTACTACAGTCGTAGGTACTTTTATATGGATATTCATTTACTATTGTCAGACTGTTTTCCTCAGCAAAATCAAGCAGCGAGTCAATTTTTCTGTTTTTAGTATCCAGTCGGCAATTAAAGTCTCCAGCCAAAATGAAATTTTCAAAATTTTCAACATATTTAAGGATTGAGAGAAGTTCATTAGTCACTGTTGTAGAACGTATCTTCGGATTTAAATAGCATGTTACTACTGTAATGTCATCAAAATTTAGAATTATGAAGTTTTCCAAATATTTCACATTTAGTAAATTTCCTAACCTAGAATTAAAATACACGGAAATTCCCCTCATCGGTCGCCCTGCCTCCTTTTGTGAAGCTAAAACTTGCCTTGAATAAAAACCAGGAATGTGAAGTGGTTTCTTTAAAAATGTTTCCGTGAAAAGAAGAATATCATAATTTTGCAGTTCTGTTGCAATCGGAGATTCATATGCTTTCGTAAGCCCTTCACAATTCCAAAGCCCTAATTTTAAGTTACTCACGTCGCTGTTTCGACAAGGGAAATCTATAAAGAAAGTTTCTCACGAGCACCACAGTTGCGCTTGCTTCTCTCCCTGGGTGCAACAGTCTGCGAATTAGGGGCATCATTTAGCTGCTCTCCGTCATCCGGCTTCCCTCCAGTCTCTTCTTCTTCCTCTCCGGCCTCCTTTGGGTTGAACAAATTCCCACAGTTTCCCCAGCGTTTGGAGACATACTTGTTGTACAGATGAACAGTGACAGGGACATCTCGAAGTTCTTCGTACAGAGTGTCCAAGACCCAGAGGCGATGCAGCCTGTCCATGCCACTGCACATGTAGGTCATTGCAATCTCGTCAATCTCTTCCTCTCGAATGACTTGGGCCAGCTTAGCAAATGCAGTCTTCACTCCCTTTAGGAAAGGCTCAGGTGCTTTGTGCAACTTGTGGGGGGACCTCATTTTAGTTACCACGTGAAACACAGTACCGTACTTTTCAGTCTTCTCTCTGATGATTCCGCCTATTTCAGTCTTTCCCGGCTCCGCTTTTGGTTTGCCCACCGCCGCCGTAACCTCTTGTGCAGCCCCCATGCTGGTCCAGAGATCAGAGGCTATGGCGTGTGCCTTTATCTCTTGCTTGGCATCCAGTAGACTGACCCCTTGATGTTCAACAAACTTGACCTTGGCTCCCTCCACTGCGAGCGACTCATCATTCTTCATGGCCTCATCGAGTTGGGCAGAGCGATCGATGTATTGGTTCACGCAGGGTGTGTCATCAGCCTTTGTCAGAGGAGCAATTGGTGGATAATAACCTCTCTGATACCTGCCGTGAAATTGCCTCCGTCTGTTATCTGTACCGCTCGACTCATTTTCTGCATTCTTCTCGTAGAAAAGGACCTTCCGCTCAAGCTCCCTCAGCTTAGCCTCGTGCTTCTCATCTCTCTCCTTCCAGGACAAACGTTCCTTTTCGAATTCCTCCTGCATCAAAGATACTGTTTTACTGAACATTTCGCCAAGTTGGTCATTCTGAATTTTGAGCTGATTTGAGAATTGCAGCGTGACATGCTGGAAAACACGCTGAATGATTTCCTCCAACGTTACTACAGCTCCCGGAGGAGCCGGACCTCCTGCATAAGTCTGTCCAAAACCTCCTGAGTTGAGAACTGGTCCATTGTTTCCATTTTGCAGAGGGTTTGGCGCCATCTCCTGTCCGGGGGTGGGTGGAGTTCCTTCGGGCCATGCTGGATGATGGAATTTTGCTCTATTTTCTGTATGTCCGTAAGAAGGGCCACAATTTATGGGTGGCTGGGCAGCGTACCCTTGTGGTGACCTCCACGGCACATGTGCAGATGCCATGGCCTTCAACTCAGGGAAAAAAGGCGAAATTAGACACACGACCCTCCTAAACCCTAACACAAGTTTAGAATCAATATTTTCAAAGGATAAAATAAAAAATGAAAAAACATTCGTACATCTTTAAAATAAAATTTGAATCAAGTTTTTGGAGGACGTTGCTCAATAATTATCTCTAATTTTGCTCTGGTCTCGGCGGCAGCAGGTGTGTGAATCATGAAATGAAATCAGCTAGCTGCTTGATATACAAAATCATATATAAATATAGACTATGAGCGCTTATATATGTAAAATTCCAGATTACGTTCAAAAGACTGCTGTTCTCTTATCTCTGGAATAAATCATAGATAATGCGCTGGGCTGTCGCCGAATCGTGAGCCAAATTGATAATAGCAGGAATGAGAGATACACGCACTTCACATTCACAAGAGAGTGCGAGAGGCAAATTATTGCAATTTTAAATCAGAAGTGTATTGATATCACATTTTGTGGGTAACAACTTGCCTGATTGCGAGACGATTGGACCAAATTTTCAAGCAGAACCATCAAAAGACCGCTGGCTGTAACCCCAGTTGCCAAAACTGACTTTTATCCGGATATTATCCTCTCCAGAGAATAATAATCTGGATAATTTTTCGATTTTGGCAGCTGGGGAACCTTCGACGTTATTGAAATTGGTGCAATGCGGAAGATGTTTTGAGATGGACGATCATGAATATTTACGACTGATTGCAAGCAAAGGGTCGATTGTAATCCCTCAGCACTGAGAAGTTAGCTAAATATTTCAGATTATAATTGTAAATATGCTTGTTTAATAAAGTTTGAGCGGGTGCAAAGAGTTTGTTTGCGTTTTGCTGAACGACCGGCAATCAGAAGTCGAGTAAAAGTAACAAGTGAAGCCAACATAACGCAATGCACACTTGTGCACAATGCTGGTTATGAACGGTGGTAAATATGATTGAATCATGGCCACATTGGTATTTTAAATTGGCGTGTACAAAACTATTTGAGACAAGAAGAGTATTTTCTTCCAAAAAACCACATAACTTCTAGAATTTGTGAAAAACTAAGGCTGACCATGATAAGACACTATAATTATAGACCTTAGTCGCTCTCACGTCACCAAGGCCTGTTGGTCTAGGGGTATGATTCTCGCTTCGGGTGCGAGAGGTCCCGGGTTCAAATCCCGGACAGGCCCATCCTCTTTTTATTCCCAATTACTTTTTAAAAATCAATTAATCTGATTCGCATTTTACAAGTTATGAGAGAATCGGGAAATGTAATGGACAAAATATAAATCTTCATTAATTGCTTATTCTCAAATAAGCATTGGAAACATTATGATTGAATAGATTAAATAATGTTGCTTCCTCTACTCCAACTTATCTTACACGCATATTAATCACTATTAATATAATACATAATCTGCAATTAATGTAATAATTAAAACGAAGAATTTTCCATGACACATTATAATTTCATTTTTTTTACTCATGGACAGCGCAGACAAAGAATGATCAATTAACATTGAAATATTAAATTTCTTAAGAATTTACTCGCAATTAATTGTTGCGAAACAATCTCCATTACAAGAATTACATGAGCTTTAAAGGTTTCAAGGACATTCAACGGTTCTCATTTATCGGATATTAATTTGAGAGTTTTTAGTTTAACCAACCCCTGGATATAATAGGAGAATAAGTTTTCAGGAATTGTACATATTTGGAATACAAATATCTAGGCAAATGCTAATTAATGCAAATATTTAGGCATCCACATACTCAATATGTGCTTATTGTTTTAATTAATTCCATATTGATCTAAATTTGGCAGTAGTATTGCAGAAACTTCTTTTTCAAAATATGCACATACAAATAACAATTTAAATATTTAACACCAAGATTCTTAAAACATCCGCTATATAATTTCGTAGAAAATCTAATTAGATAAGAATTTTTTTCAATTAAAAATTTTTTTCCGTGTAAAACAATCAATTGGACTTTAAATCATGGGTTCATTTTAAGACCAGTAGGAAGACTCATGAATTGAACTGAAAATTTTGTAACTGAATAATTTTTTACAACCTCTTCTTGATCAACTTTTCCAGTTTCTTGATTCTTGAAGACTCGTGCTCAGGACTAGTTACCATTGACAATGTAGGTTTTGAGTCGGCTACCGTAAAGTCTCGCTGCTCGTCTCTTGGTGCATCTTGGTATAAGTCTTGGATCTTCTGAAGATTTTGTCGAAAGAGCTCCAACATTGCTGTCTGATCCTGTCGTCTCAGTCCCTATTTTTTCAATATATTAGTTTCTTTAAAACTTAACACATTGATTGTTTTTACCTTCATGTCCAAGACTTTCTGGAATTCAGTTGTGTCCGACTGTGGCAGGAGTTTAATGTATTGCTCCACAAATGCTGCTGGTGGGTCACAGGGAGCCATCACTACTTTTAAAATCATTTCCGCTCTGGTCATACCTAATTAAATACCATTATTAGCTTTTTTAAATTTATTTTTAGTTCTTTTTACCTTTGACGACAATCTTTGTAAATGCCGTAGGAGGTTTTCTGTTGACAGCAGAGCCGAGAGAAGGGAGATCCAGCAAAACAGTCTTGAACATATGAGTGTCCAAAAGCAACTGCTCTGCGCCCACTGTTGACAATGGCCGGCATTTGCAGATGTTCTGGATAAGCTTCGGAATGAATGAACTAAAATTTAAAATTAACCATTGTGGTATATTTTTTAAGCTTTTCTAAACTTGCTTGATAAATTTGATGCAAAATTGTGTGAAATATTTTCTTGACGAAGCAAAGTTGTCCCTAATGATCGGAATGGTTGATTTGAGGTGACCCGTGATTGCTGTGACGTATCCACTTTGATCACCAACACTTTCAATGCTGTTCCACTGGATCTGAAAAAAAAAATTAAAGATTAATTTACACATATTCACATTGAACTGAAAATTAATACTTTGCTCATTGCAGTGAATGCTGGTTCGCAGGCAATTTCCAAGTCTTGCACTAGTAACTGGATGCAGTTTGAAATAACGCTGTGATAAAAAAAAATGCAATCATATACTTTTTTAATCATATTAAATTATCCGAAATTATCATTACTTGTGGAAAATATCCTGTTCGGCAGAAAATTTGATCTGTGCTACCAAACGAGGATCGACTCTCTCTTTCAGCTTCTCCTCCAACTGCTGGGTTGTGTCCAGGCAGTACTCGGCAGTGGTCAGGATGCTGCACACTTTTGCTTGCTCCTCTTTGGTGTATCGTGTCACTTGATCCCCTTCTTTCAACAACATACTAAAATTCTGGATAATCCCTGCTGCTGACGACAAGTCTCGCAGATCTCGAGTCAAATTGGTCATGCTGCTCAACGAACTGCTGGTTGTACAAAGTCTAAAATAATTGAAGAATTAAAATTTACAAATTATCTGGCCCTACAAACTTACTTTGGCAAGCCATTCTGCAAGATACGAATTGCGTATTCTCGAAGGTACTTTTGAAATAACTTTGCCAAGTCAACCATTGGCTGTTCATTGCTCAGTTGAGTGCACTGCAGCAAACACTTTTTGTAAAAGACAAAAAGATCAGCGCAACTTGGCAAAATCGCGCAGCCAGCTCCGCCTTCTGTTATGACAGGAGGAGCGGAAATCTTCAACTCTTGTACAAATTGATCCATCAGGTCAGCAAGATTTCTGAGAGGAATTAATTATTGTAATTTTCACTGAAAACTAGGCTAAGGATTTACCTGTCAATGCTGTCAATGTAGACATTCAGATAAGGGATGAAGCACTGCCCAATCAATCCGTTAAAATTGGCTGCTGATTTGGCCTTTATGGCTTCGAGCTCTCCGCCTGCCGCCACGTCCTCTTCAAAAGGATTCAAACCTTGCTGATCGTCTTGTTCAAATGGATTGTTGTTGCCAGACTATAATTTTCCTGATAAGCTTACTTTGTTTATGAAATGTTATAAGTGGACTTGCTTTTTGAATAGTCATTCCGACAAAGCGCTTGGCTAACAGATTCTCAAATGCTGTCGTTCGTTGAATGGCAAACAAGAGCAGCTTCACGTCAATCTCATGTTTTCTTCGACTCATTACATTAGACAGCTGAACCCTTTAAAATAATCATTAAATTTTCTGATTTTCTAAGTATGTAATCAAATTTTACCGAGTGACCTCGCAGAACCGAACTGAAATTCTTTCAGAGATCTCCCACGTCGGAGGAAACATTGGGCCAAATTTGTCCTCAAACTCCATTAGGTGCTTCTTGAGCCAGCTGTATCTTCTTTCAATATTATCTAGCCAGGCAGAGTCCTGATTTTCGTGGAAAAGGTGCTTGTACTCGGCCAGTTGCAAGTCGGACAACCAGTGCAGCAATCCCTCTCTGACGAAAATTTTAAAATTTAATCAGTATTAAGATGCAAATAAAAATTAAACTCATTACTTGACTCTTGGATCAAGCACAGAAACAACAAGACAAGCCTCAGCAAGCTGCCTGTTTGGGGTGAAATGTTTTGCGTTCGGCCCTTCAAATGCTTCGTGGAAATCCGACACAATTTGCTTCTCTAAACGAATGTGAATTTCTTGAACCTGGCAATTGTTTTAATAAAATAAATTTCCAGTGATTAGTATATTATAGAAATTATACCTCAGCGGCCATGTCTCTAATCTGAGGAATGTCAGTGAAGTCCTTGAAGTGCTCCATCACTTGCTGCACCCCTTGCAGAGGCATCACAATATCACCGTACTTTCGTTTATCAATCAGTAGTCTGAAAAAATTTAAGCTCAACTTAAATGATTTATTGATTTATTTAATTTACTACCTTAAACTTTCAACCCCTTGCGCCAGCATGTGTAGGTGATTCAGGGCAGTGATGGCAGACGTCAAATTTCGCTTTGCACAGTCCAGTTGTTTGATATCTCGTGTAATTTGCTGCACTGCTGCCTCCGACTGCTCGGCCTTCATTTTTATATCCCTGACTTGCACAAATAAGTGCTCGATAACTTTCTGAGCGTCAGCTAAAGCTGCTTTTCCATCCTGAGTGCAAGGATTTTTTTTCCATAAAAATATGAACAAAAAAATTAATAAAAAAAACCTTTCCGACTCGACTCTGGTTGCGAACAACAGTTCTAATATCTTCATCAATGCTCAGAATCTTTTGCTCCATCCGTGCGACGACCTCATCTAAATTGGCCAGGGATTGCTCGGTTGGGAACAAGGTGTTAATGTAGGCCACCGCATCAAAGTCAGATTTTGCCAAGGGGTCCTCGCAGGGCAAAACCTGGATTTTTATGAATTTATTACTTTCAAAGTAAAGGCAAATATTTATGAAAATTATGTCAAAATGCCGGGATATTAATCGTTTAAAATGTTGAATCTTGAATAAATGTCAGTAATCTTACCTGTTCTATCGCTCGTTGAACTTCAGCAGGAAAATCAATTATTGACGTTGCTCCCAGTGCACTTTCGATGTCCTCAAAATAATCTTCCTCTCGTTCCATTTTGAGGCTTTTAATACTAAATCTATGCAAAAACAGTCACCGCATAATCTTTAATTTAAAGAAATAAAATGTTCTTGGTGAGAGATCAGACAGCAAAAACAATTCAACTTGAACTTTGCAAAAGTGAGATTTTCTGAGTGACGTGAAGGGGTCCAGACCAGAGGTGGGCGGAACTGTTTATGTAGGGATTGTAGGGCAGCCAACTCTACCAACAGTAGTGGAATCGAAGAACGCGGAGGGTGTAGGGGGGCTTCGCTTTTTTGCACTTGAAGTTGGAAAATAAAGAAAACTTTTTTACGCTATTTTATTTTACTTTTCGTATATTGATTTTGATAATATATTGCGATAATGCAAAGGCGCAAAAGAGGAAGATTTTTTCTTAAGAAAATAATTATTGTAATTTATTATATTCAAATAAGAAAAAATTTAATGATTCTCTTTTCTTTTGAATAATTTTTTATTTTAGTTTAGGTTTGAATCTAGAGGCTTGTTTGCCAGTTTAATTTTAAAAATCAAGACATTTTTGGATGATCCAAACTCCACATTTTATTTTTCACAGCAAAGGGGGAGGAATTTTGAAGGCGACATTTATAATTAGATTGGTGCAATAAACAGAGTGAGATATTTGCACTACCTCAATTATTATGATAGTCTCTAGCACAATAAATGCAAGTGGAATTATTCGATTTGATCCTTACTCTCCAGCACATGCACTATATACGAGTAAGCTGTTGGTGCTATTAAAGGGAAAGCAATCAGTTTCAGAAAAAAAATAATTAATTTTTCAAGCTTATAGACCTTCAATACACCATCAATTTTTTTTAATCAAAATCTGATCATAATTTTAACAAAAGTTTTTTTAAACCGTCAAAATATCAAAATTTGTGTTTTTAACACAATTATTTTTTCACATTTTCAGTTTCTACAGTGCAATATTTTCTTCTTCTATTGACTCTTCAACAGCTCATAAGTACGCGATTGACTAATTAACATTTTTTTTTGGCACAGAAATATACAATCAACTCACAAACATCAATATTTTGACACCAACTCACAATTTTTAAGAATTAATTTTTCTGCGCCAGAATTATTCGGTACGGCGCAAGACATGAACAAATTTTGTAATTTTGATAAACAAGAGAGAAACAATTTAAAGTTAATTGCATACCTCGGAACTTTTGATAAATTGCATTTGACCAGAATAAAACTTTGAAAAATTAAAGAAATCCATCTTGATTAAAATTATTGTGCTTTGGCTTGGCGCGCTTCTTCCCTTTCCTTAACGTCAATGGTGCCAAGGTTTAGGCAAGCGACGTAACCCTGCAAAAGGGCAATTAACGCCTTGACGACTGCCACTGGGAAGGTCACGTAGCAAAGCAGCTTGAACAGTCCAATTTCACCAACTAGAAAAAAATATCAAAATTAACAAATTATTGTGCTAAAATCAGCATTTAACTTTTACCGATTGGGCCGGAGGTGAAATGCAGGAGATAAAGTGAGGCGTAGAACAACTCATTTCCGGCACACATGCAGAACAAAACTGTTCGGGAAGTGTAGTAGATTCGCATAATCGGATTTCCAGCCATGTCGACAAACTTGTGACTGGTCTTGCCTTGCATAAGAGACCTAAAAATTAAAATTTGTAGATTCAAAATTTTATGGTTATAAGAAAATTACGTGTGGAGGTGAATCCAGTGGCAGGCGATATCAATAGTCATGCTCAACTGGAAGAGGAAAGTGTATTGCGGATAAAAGAGACACAAGGTCACCATGAGGCACATGGTGCCACAACGATCAGTCAATTGGTCCAACATGGCTCCGAACTTTGTACCTGTAAAATTAAAAGTTTTTAAAAACTGCGCCTAAATTAATATTTAAGAAAATTAAATATGAAAAAGAACTTGCAGCCATTCAAATAATACTGATGAATAGCAAAGAAATATTTTTAAGCAAAAGGTGAACTTTTTTGGCTTCAAATTTAAAATTCAAATCCTGTTCACAACGATTGGTGAATATTAAATTTAATATATTTTATATAATATCGTTTAATTTTTTTTAGTTAAATATGTATTTAGGATTATAAAAAAAGGAATGAAGCCTTCTAAAATAAAAAATTGGTAAATAAAAATTACTCTGGTCGTAGATTCTTGCAGCGTGTCCGTCAAATGCGTCCAACAGAGCTGAGGTCACGTAGCACCAGGAGGCCAGGACATAATTAGTCGGCATGAAGTAAAATGATATCAGAGCAAGAATTACTCTGGCATAACCTGAAAGTGAGAATAAAAATTTGTAAGCAACACAAACATTTCAGAAATTGATTTTTATTGAGAAAGGAAAACTGCGGCTTTTGATTTTACAATTTTTTAGACTCTCATGTCAGATTCAATTCAAGACTTAAAAACGTGACTGTGTAAAATTTCCACAAACCCGTTTAGAGCTGATAGCATTTAAGAATTCAAAATTATCCTTTGCAACTGACTTTTTACTCACCAATTAAGTTTGGCACAAAAAGGAAAATGTTCTCTCCTTCCATCGTGGCTCGGTCGAAAAGTTGCTACTTCCAGTGGCGAAAACTCGGAGAGGAATGAAGACGGATTTACTTTTTGCAAACGAAATCGTCTACCGAGGGTGGCTGATATCCGGGTTAATGCAATAAGCAAAAAGTGGTCGAGGGCGTTGAGGCTTTGCTGACTACTTTGTTTATGTGCAACACAAAACCTAACAATAAGTTCGATTGAGCTGCTGCAGCGCGCAAGCGCCTCCAGCTGGCCCCTCTTCAAAGATCAAGGCCAAGGGCGCCAAAAGGACAGAGCAAAACTGCATTTCAGTTTCAGTTGATATCCATAAAATTAACAACTCAAAAGTGCTTGAAAGTATTTCAACTAATGAAATTTAGCTGATTAAATTTTTGCAGCAATAATCAGCTACATATATCAGGATAAATTAAAATTTAAAAACATAATTATAATAATTAAAATTTTTATAGCTCTTTAATTATATATTTTTTCCAAAAACTAAAATAATAATTGCTCAAAGCAACTTTAATTTTTAGATAGTAAAGTTTCAGGTACAATATGTTGAAGAACTATTATTAACAAAAATCTCTGTAAATTATATTATCATTCATTTTGAATCAACAGGGCAATGAGTGTCTATAATGAGCTTTCCTTCAGCATTTTTCACTCTAACACGACCATTTGGATATTTTGTCTCTAGAAGACCACTGGGATATTGCACGCGAATTGTTCCATCTGGGTACTGCAATGTCTGCAAAGAGATTTAAATAAATATTTTTCAAACCTAAAGGTAACGAATAATACCGTCGAATCTGTGGTTCGAATTTCTCGAAGACCATTTGGCATTTCTAAAATACTGGAGCCATCAGAATTGAGAAAAAGTTTTGAACCGTCGCACAAATTGGCCGTCTGTTTGCCATCAGAATCAATGCACATGCTTGACCCGTCTGGAAATGTGACCTCTTTGCTTCCGTCGTTCTTTAGAACCTCCTTCTGACCACTAAAATAGTTTTTTTTAATGAAAGCCTCCTTTCCTTTTACTAGATTCAGTCTTACTCAGGGTAGCTGATAGTTTGAGTGCCGTTGCTGTATGTTTCGTGCCAAACTCGGCTGTCGGAATAAAAATATCTTGTAATTCCTTCTCGGTTCCAACTCTCCTGCACGTCTCCATTGTGAAAGACCATCCGTCTGTGGGCACCATCGGCAGACACTTTCAAAGTGTTGCCACAGGAATACCAGATCTGCTTTGTTCCGTCAGGATGAGTCTGACTTTTTACAATGTCGCTGAAAGCTTAACGTTATAATCTACGGAGAATGAATTGTTTCTTATCGATATATACCTGGTTGCCTCTGTGGTGGTAGGATTTATGACTCTGCTTGGCTGATCCACACGCTCAGGTAAAACAGACCTAGGCCTCATCTCTTCATAAGAAAGGACTTCTGGTACAATACTTTCTGAGAAGACAGGTTTACGCTGTGCGTCAAGTGTTTTCTTCTCTGGTTTTGCTGGTTCCAATTTTTCTTTCCTAACTTCGACAATTTCTTTTGACTTCAGGGCTTCAGGTGAGACGTTTCTTTTGGGGTTAAAAATATCAAAATAAGCCTTGTTGATTGATCTGGGAGTCATCAAAGAGCTATTTGGGGAATCTTCTTTGGGGCAGAGGCGTTGGTATAACTTGAGGGCATCATCCAAATCCCTAGCACAATTTATCCGAGAGTTTTCTTCTTCGGGTTCCTCAGCGCTTTTGTCGTATCTTGGCTCGAGAGATGGTGGTTTTTCAGGTTCTGCTGGCTTTTTTAAGACGGACCTTACGGATGCGCTGGTCTTCGATTTAACTGGGGCAAAGTGGACCTATAGTGAGCAAAGTAATTTTTTTAATACGAAAGAGTTGTAAATAAAAAAATATTTTTTGTTACCTTTTTAGCTTGATTCAACTTAAGTTCTTTAATTTGTTGAGCTAAATTTTTATTTTCCTGCGACAACTGCCACAATTGAGCTCTCTGACTAGCTTGTGCTGACGCCCATCGAACTTCTTTATCTTTCCACAAAGTTTGCAGCTCTTCCAGCTGGAAAAAAATTTATAATTATTTTTAAGCTCTCTGTCATTGGATTCTGACTCTTCCTGCTACGTATGTCACTATTTCCAACAGCAGTTAAGTGGAGAGACAGAAAGGGTGAAATATAAGCTAATTTTTTAATTAGACTCAGTATTAAATTAAACACACCTGCTTTTTCAGCTCATCAACTTTTCTGTTTTCAAATTGCTGCTGCAATTTGGTGCCTCTGAACTTCCTCTTCTGCTCTTCCGCTTCCTCCAGTGCTTTTGCAAGTTTTTCTTTCTCGCCTGCAAGCTCAGCTCTTTGTTGATGGAGGTTTGCCTGCTGCTCTTGTACAACCAAAACTTCTCTCTGCAACTGTTCAAGTCTGACGTGCATTGCTGAACTAACAAGGTATGCTCCCGAGATGACACACGCCGATTTTCTTAAAAATTGGTGTGAGGCACGGCCGAAGCGCATGTATCACGGGACAATGCTCACTTTTTGCCCAATTTTCCTAGGGGCTGCAGGAGGGGCGTTTTAAAATTTAAAAAGTATGCAATCTCTTGACACGTATGTTTCGCATGTTGCATACATTTCATATCTCGCAATGCTGAAATTATAAAAAGTCAAAAATTAAAACCGCTTTGAAAATTCTAAAAATGGTCCGATTTTGATGAAAATTCATTTCTAGCATCTCCTTCATGTACCCAATCGAATGATGTATCACACATACCTTTCCGGCAAAGTTTTGATTTTCTCAAAGAGGTCGGGAAAATCGGCAATTGCGGAAAAACGACTAGAGGAATAGTTTTGAAATTTTAGGGGTGTCTTGCCAAAAATCCAAGCTACATTCTGGCTATTTAGACTTTCTGCTGTGGGTTGCATACCCTCTGCAAAAAATAAGGTAATTTTTTACTTCGCTTTTCCGGAAAAGCAACCAGTGCTGGAAAGTTAATGTTGACAGACGAAAGATTGGAAATGTAACCAAGTTTCAGAATTGCTTAAATTTTTGTCTTTTTCTCCCGTAGAAGTCGAGTTATTGAGTAAAACTTGGACCCCTTATGAAAATGGGTAATTTTCCGGAAAATAGCAGGTATTGTAAAATTACGTTACTATTATGTTCAAGATCTACCCTTCCAGCAATTTTCAGATTTTTATCTCCACGCGCTATATTTTTTTAGCACTTTTATTGAAAAAAATTGCTCGTTAAGGGTTAACATTAGAAATAAGAAATAAATCAAAAAACTGACCCCAGAATCGTGTTCAGCAGGGTAGATTACCCCTCATAACATGTTTCACACTTTTTCGCTTACACACTCGCTATAGTTGTAAATTACAACTTAATCATGCCAGTCAAGTTTGCATTAATTGTAAGTAGGGCTTTCAGAATCTGCCGAGATTTTTCAAATTTGATCAAGGGTTCGCCAGTGGCGTAATACTTATGGGCCTCGCTGTATGCTCAATTTTTGTTAGACATTTTTTCTGATAAAAATTTTTTAAATGGGCATTTATAACGCCCTTGAAACATATTTCGGTGCGACTATTGGAAAAAATGGTCCTTGCGCTGACCTGCGGCTCACAAGAATTTATGCAATGCAATTTTTCGCATTCCAAAGCCTGCACCGCGCCTGCCTACTCACTTGCAACTGGTGCCTTTGTTGCTAGTAGGGTCCGTAAGGGCAAGAGAGAAGGTTGTATAATGTGATATAGTTGGATTATAAAAATGTCAAGGAATAAAGTTTCGGTGCATAATGTCATTAAATTAATAATTAGCGATTGCAATTTTGATTCAACAAAGACAACAGTGCCTACAGAAATTGAGCTTGAGCTGGCAAAACAACTTACAGGTATTAATATAAATTTTTTTTATCTTTTAAATTAATATGGTCAATTAAATACAGATATTCTTCTTTCGGATGGTAAATGTTTGGACCAAATTTGCACTGAAACTTCCCTTGATTACGAGAGTGACCTTCCGTCTAACCAGAGCTTTGAAGATGTCACAAAATATCTCAATTCACAAGAGGATTTTGATGTTTTTGAAGATGGACTGGAAACGAGGAGTTCGTTTTTTCCAAAGAGAGGTTCAGAGCAAGTTGAGGATAAAGACTATCAAGTAGAAAAGCTGGAACAGAATTATTTTGATGGAAAAGTTGCAAGCTTGGATATGAAGAGAGAAGCCATAGACTATTGGAAAGGAACAAAAGGAAAATTGAGGAGCATTGAAAGTGTCCAACATCGGTTTAGGTATGTCAAGAACAGGAAGCAACTTTACCGATGGAAAGAACAGCTAGAAAAAGGAGGTGACCGCTTGAATAAACTTGCAGCTGTTTATTTAGGTAATAGCTATTTTTTAAACAAAATTTGGTGTTTATTAAAAGTATAATTTCTATGTTTCACTATGATTTCTCATAATATTATTATATTTATACTTCAAACTTTAATTGTTTTAAAGTATAATATATATTTTAATAATTTTATAAAAATTTGAAATAAAATTCAGTTTACCCTTACAATAATGATCACTAGCTTCTTAATTAACACAATAAAATTAATTTTAATATTAAATTATTGTGTGTTACAGAAACCAAAAGGTGTTTTGACCATGCCCGCGAGAATGGCCACATAATACATGACTGTGATTTAATGCAATGGGCTGTTGATGCTGCAAAATCAGAGAACGTCAGCTTTTTGACTGTGTCGCGGCACTTCATCTACAACTTCAAAAGAAGATTTGGTATCGTGGATCGTAAAGTAACCAAATTTGTTACAAAAGCATCGATGGAGCGCGAGGATGATCTAGTCAAGGAAGGAGAAGCATTTGTCGATGACACACGTGCCCTCATAGCTCATGTAGGGCGAAGTAGCACTTACAACGCTGATCATATGGGTCTTGTGAGAGAACTGCACACTGGTAGAAGCCTTGACATAAGAGGCGCCAAGCATGTCTCAAAGGTACATGACCTTAAAAATAAATTTTCTTTAACAAAATTTTAACCGAAATTTTAAGAGCAAAAACTTATGAATATGATATCTATTAATTTTTTTAACTTTATATTTTTACAATAAGTTCAGCGCATTTTGTTACTTCGATCTTTTAGACATTAAAATTTAGTAACTGAAAATTATTAATATCCAGTGTTACAACTTACTATTTCATTTTTTAAAGCATATTAATTTTGTGCATACTTTGTTGATTAAATAAATTATTTTTTAATTCCAGATAATTCAAAGCAAACATGCACTGACTCATTCATCAACAATTCTACCAGTCACCTCTGCAGATGGAGCTTTGCATTCACCTTGCCTTCTCATACTACAAGAAAAAGGAGGGAAGTTTGGACCTGCAGTGACCAAAAAGATGTTCCGTCCACCAAACCTTGTAATTTTAGCATCAGAGTCGGGCAAAATGCACAAGCACCAGAATGGCATTTTTTTTGAAAAGTGCTTGATTCCGCACCTCAAGGAGATGTCCTGCTTTCTTCGAGACAAGTGGTTTGGTTGGTGGGACGACGAGCTTTTGGAAAACCTGCCTTTGAACAAAACAGTGACCATCACAGAAATTCCTGCGGGTACGACTGGCTGGGTGCAGCCGCAAGATGTCTACTTCAATAGACCCCTTAAATGTTTCATTAGGAAGCTCTCTGACCGCGTCATTTCTCTTGGTCTGCAAGTTAAACTCTACGAAAGAAACTCGATCATCAAGATTGTGTCTATTTCCCTGAACCAATTCAGCGCCCCAAGATTTAAGCCGGCCATACAATACGGTTGGTGGAAAGCTGGTTACCTGGGAGAAGAGAGGCCTCCCGTGTTTGAAACGCCAACAGCTTTTTGCTTTAGCAAAGGCGCTGGCACATGTGAAGCAGATGGTTGCTGCAAAACCAGGTTCATCAAGTGTGCTTGGTGTCTTATGAACTTGTGCTTTGAACACCTCTGGAATTTCCATTACTGCGAAAACGCAAAGTAGCTTTTGCAAGCTAGTTCAGAAGAAAGACTGTTTTAAATGATAGTAACAAAATGCAACTAATTTTGTTCCCAGTGATTTTGTTTAATGTATATTCTATGCAATGTTATAAAAAGTATATTCTTTGATGTTGAATATCAAACAATAAAAAAATTGAATAACTTAAAAAAATTTTATAATATTTTTTGTTATTTGTTCTTTTTTTAAGAATGGAAATTATTCATAAATTTTTTTACTGCGAGTGTTATTATTTCTTATTTCTAATAATAACCCTAAACGAGCAATTTTTTTCAATAAAAGTGCTAAAAAAATATAGCGCGTGGAGATAAAAATCTGAAAATTGCTGGAAGGGTAGATCTTGAACATAATAGTAACGTAATTTTACAATACCTGCTATTTTCCGGAAAATTACCCATTTTCATAAGGGGTCCAAGTTTTACTCAATAACTCGACTTCTACGGGAGAAAAAGACAAAAATTTAAGCAATTCTGAAACTTGGTTACATTTCCAATCTTTCGTCTGTCAACATTAACTTTCCAGCACTGGTTGCTTTTCCGGAAAAGCGAAGTAAAAAATTACCTTATTTTTTGCAGAGGGTATGCAACCCACAGCAGAAAGTCTAAATAGCCAGAATGTAGCTTGGATTTTTGGCAAGACACCCCTAAAATTTCAAAACTATTCCTCTAGTCGTTTTTCCGCAATTGCCGATTTTCCCGACCTCTTTGAGAAAATCAAAACTTTGCCGGAAAGGTATGTTTGATACATCATTCGATTGGGTACATGAAGGAGATGCTAGAAATGAATTTTCATCAAAATCGGACCATTTTTAGAATTTTCAAAGCGGTTTTAATTTTTGACTTTTTATAATTTCAGCATTGCGAGATATGAAATGTATGCAACATGCGAAACATACGTGTCAAGAGATTGCATACTTTTTAAATTTTAAAACGCCCCTCCTGCAGCCCCTAGGAAAATTGGGCAAAAAGTGAGCATTGTCCCGTGATACATGCGCTTCGGCCGTGCCTCACACCAATTTTTAAGAAAATCGGCGTGTGTCATCTCGGGAGCATACCTTGTAAGCTTATAGTCATCATCTATCTAAAATTTCAGTTTCCAACATTAAGTTATCAATCAGGACCAATGAAACAATGCACAACCTTCTCTACTTCAATTCCATCTTCAGATGATGCAACGCTCTCATTATCTTTTCCTTCAACCAAAGTATTTTCCAGGTCTTCATGGTTCCCATTTTTGTTTGACTCAATGATTTTTGCATAGGCTGAATAACTTGATGATGTCTCGCTGTCACTTGAATTGCTTGTTTTGCTCCACTCTTCATCAGTCAAATCAATTTCCTATGGAGGGAATAGATAAATTTATAAAAAAAAAAAAAAAATAGTTAATAACGTGATTTAAGATATTTACATGATGTGAATCTTCATCTTCGCTTGAGGTTGCACTTTGCAAACCAGACAAGTCCAATTTAAGCTCGTTTAAGTTAATATTATTCTCCAAGAACTCTCTGTTATCTTCTAAAATTTATCAAATATGTTTATTTGAAATTTTATTTTCATAAATTTTGTTGTAGCTCACCTGCCAGTCCAAATCTCAAAGCGGCCAGTTGCTGAAGAAGAGCCTTTGCATTTTCTACGGTGGGATTTGGTGCAAGTACTGGCGGATCCAAAGCCAATGGTGACTGACTTTGTCGTTTGACTGGAGAAGATTGGGGTGTGTTTTGAACAGAACTGATGTAACCACCTTCTATAAATCTTGCATATGTTGAAGACGTAGAGCAAAAGCTGGAGTCGTCTGCAAGTTTTTCCATGCGCTCGAATACCCTCAACTCTCTTTGCTCAATCTAATAATTAAAATATTTGATAAATTTATATATTTTTGAATGATTACAAAAAACTAACAAATTTTCTCATTGGAGAAGAACTAGATATCTGGGCAGGTGCTGTGGCCAAAACTGTACTCCATGTTTTTGATGGCAATTCTTTAATCTTAGACTTGTCCTCTTTCAAAGCCACAGTCACTGATTTTGCTGCTTCGCCTGCTTTCTTTTCATGAACCTTCGGCTCACGAAAAAGATTTTTCTTGGGTGGCACCAGTTTAAGAGTTGGAGGGATAGGTGCTCGAGGCACTAAAATCTGTCTCTGTAGGAGGAAAATTGTAAATAACTTTATTAAAAATTAGAGCGTAAAATGACACACCTGTGCAGGCTTCGCTCTTGAGTCAATTTTATTCGACTTCACTTCTCTCTTTCGAGGGTTCGTCACCTTTTCAGGCAGTTTCCTTTTCTGTTCTTTGCTAGACGCATCACCAGTGCCAGGCTTCTTCTTGCCTTTGCTGGCCAAAATCCTTTTTCGTTGATTTTCCATGTCATCGTGAGACATTCGAAATCGAGATAAGCCTTCGCCTCTCTTCAAAAATGTTTTCTTCGTAGGTTTGCTGTCAGCTGTTTCTTCCTCTCTTTGGATATTTGGGAAAGTTGCAAAACTCTTAAAGAAGCGCACAATGTAAAAGTACATAAATAAGAAGAGGCTAATTATTTTTACCCTGTCATCGTTTTCAACGCTTATGTTTCCATTTGTATGATTGATTGGCGTTGTTTCTTCTTCACTAGATAAGTCACCATCGTGTGAAACCGAATCTCTGGATTGGTCTGTGGAAAGCAGAACAATGGCAATGTTAAGCAGAAGGAAACGCTGCAATTAATTACCAAGAAGTTGAAGCTGTTGCTGAAATCTGTTGCTCTGCTCCTCTACTAGAATTTCTCGGTGCTTTTCTTGCTCTTTTACAAGTTTTTCGTGTTGCTGACTCTGCCACTGCTTGAGGTCTACTAATTTCCCCAAAACGTTTAGTGAGGATTGCTTTGCCATGACTAAACCTACAAAACAAATTGAATTGAATCAACATTATTCAACAAAAAAGGCTGAAATTTTACACAATTTTCTATTACGAATTGGAAAATGTTGCGACTAAAAGGAGGTTGATGGGTTTAAGCAACCTCAGCTCCGGAAATCGCATAAGTCTACGAGGCAAACAAAATAGTTTTGAAGAAATAAAAACAGCGAACCTTTGTTTGTGTTTTCCTCTCCAGCTGACGCCGGCTACCTGTTCACTTTGCCGCCTTTCTTCTTCTGTTCGCGCTAAAAGATCGACCAATAAGCATCTAGTATCTGAAGAAACTCGAGCTTCTCATTGGTGGAGGATTCGGGAGACGGACAAAGACACGCAAGTCGCAAAACAATAATTCATGACACAGAGGGCCATGCCATGCAATGCGGAGCGGATCTTGTTTACGATTTCCAGTTTCCTGACGAGAGTGAGAGGGTAGTCTGTAGTTATTGCTATAGGTGTCTATGCCTTTTTTTTAACTCCCGTTCCGTGTTCTATAAAATAAATAGTGGTTGTAAATTTATGTGAACAGTGGATCTAATGGAAGTGTTAAAAATCTTGCTACGTAGTGCATTTGTGCACTGCATGGTCCTAAAGGATTGATGAAAAAGTGGCGTAAGATCCGTATCAATTTTCAAGAATGGAGTGTTCCCTTGGCACGACGACTAAGGAAAATATTGCAGCGACGACGTTTACCGTTCTTCACTTCAGTAGAGCAATTTCGTAAGTAAAATTTGATCTTATTTTATAAACTATTAAATAATGAGATTTTTATGGATTTTATTTCACTCATTGAAATTAAATTTATGTATGCGAAATTAAGCCTGTATTACATTATCAGCAAAAAAAAAATACAATATAAGATTGAATTAAAATTTTATTGTTACGCAGTCGTTATGGTATAATTATTTTAGAGCGATTTATTGATCTTATTTCCAAAGTTGTGGAAAATGAGCAGAAATTATTTTTTAGCAATTTCTTCTCTGAAAATTCCGACTTTTTAAATATAGCTATTACGAATTGCACAATTTTAAGTTGGAATTTTTATCTTTCGGATAAGGGTAAAAAAAAGGTTAAAATTAGGTACATTATTTAACCATTTTTTATTTTTAAATTTCTGTAGATTCTAAAACACTTAATACATAATTTTAATCAAGTACATTGCATAAGTATTATAATCTATTTTTAAATAGTTTGTGCAGAAATTATATCTCTTTTAAAAATGCTTAATTCAGGGTTCATAGCTTTTTTTATAAGTCCGTGGATTTTAACTGCACAATAATTTCAGTACTAGCGCAGAATTATTGCTGTAAATTGAATATAACGCTAACATTTTTTATTTTACATCACATCAGATTTTCTCATTTTTTAAATATAGTTTTATAAATGCATTTCTATTTATCTCAAATGCACTTCAAAAACAGGATTTTATATTTTATATATTCTCCGATATTTAATTTTGTGACGCAAGAATTATTAAAATTTATATGTTATCATTAAAAATAAATAGATCAATTTGCTTAATTTTCAAATATTAACAAATTAATTTGATTATTGATTGCTTTTTAAGCATTAACAAGTCTATATAAAATATAATTTTTTTCCGCTTAAAAAAAATAAAGCACAAATCTGAAACGTTTTTTTATAATTTCTTAATAATTGCCCATGAATAAAACTACCTTTTCAATTTCAGGGCAATTTCATTGTTATCTTTGACGAGCTGATTCAGTTCAGCGGTGAGTTGGACAATTTTCGCGTTGTTTCTGCGGAACCTAATGTGCAAATTGTCCGACGTTCGCTTGTAGTTAATTGTGCCATCAACGTTGTCCGTCACGTCCATGCCCAGGCTGGTCAGTTCCTTGTTCTCCTGTGCAATCTTGAGGGCGTCACACAAAGCCTCGGAGTCGAAGTCCTGTTGCTTGGGCTGCGTGTAGGTGACGATGAAAGTACCCTCGTCCGCCGCCCCTTCCGCGTCCACGTGCACCCCTCTCTTGCGGTCGTAACATTTCCTCAGACGGTCGTAACAGGTGACCTGCCGCCCTATGCAGATAGCCGTCGAAATCACGTAGACAATGTTACCTGGAAATTTTTTTCAATAATTTTTATTGAGGTTTCCGGCTAAATGCGGCTAAATAAGCGTCTGTTTTTTTTAACCTATATTTATTTAAAAAAAAAAAATTGATGTTTAAAGTGGCTAAAAAAGACAATTAAATTTTTAATTGAAGTCAATTTAAGTATTTATTAGAGTTGTAAAAATTAAATTTAATCTAGATTTGTATGTAAAGTTTAAAAAAATATAAACCATTTTGAGATAAATAGTTTTTTGATCAAATTCTATTTTTTTTTTTTATTAATTAAATGCAGTCAGTTATTAATTTAATTTATTATATTATATTTAAATAATTTATTTATAAAGGTTGGAATTTGCCATACCTGAAGTTGTTTCCAAATACTCAACCAGGTCAACTTTTCTCTTCAGCTTGGTGGCCAGGGCTGATTGTTTGATTTCGTTCACGTCGTGGACCACAATACCGACCAGGAGATTCATCAGGACAATCGCAATGGTGAAGATGAACCCGATGAACACGATCTGAACGGCCACCGAGGACAAAAGCTCCATGTCCGCGGTGGTGTTGTCAAAGAGGTCGTTGTACTCAAGTTCTCCGATCATCATTGCCAGTGTCTTCCAAATGGCCTTCAGAGGATTCGAGAAGGGCTCTTTACTTTTGAAAATCATGTAAAAGCTGATGGCGTAGCCAATTAGAAGACAAATGTAGGCCATCAGCAGTTTGACGAACTCTTTCAGCACGGACAGGTACATTTCGACATAAACGCCGAACCAGGGCAGTTGGCCCAGCAGAATCATGAAATTGGCCCAGGCAATCAAAACCACCAGGGGGGCCAAACGATCGTGCCACGATTGAGGCGTCGGGCTTGAGTAGAACAGGTAGAGCGTGGCGATCAGAGAAAACCACTCAAAGTAGTTCTCAAATTGCTTCAGGTAACGGATGATGGTGCGCAGAATGGTCGGCGTGGACGGGCTGTTGGCGAAGGAGAAGAAGCCGGCCAGTTTTCTGATTATGTCGATTATGGTCAGGGGCACAACTAGGCAGTAGGCAATGTCCAGCAGGATTTGCAGACCGGGACTGCTGTTCACGTTTTCAAAAATGGTTCCATTCCCCGGGCAGGATATTGAAGAAGCATTGAACCTGCGGAAGCATCATATGATTATTTCAAGATTGAAATTTTTGCACTTAGCTCTTTTAATTGTCTAATTAATTCAAAATTAAATTAATTTCAATAACCCGGAAAAAATAAATATAATAATATGATCATAATTTTTTGTTATTTAAAATTAATTTTTTTTTTGCTCAAAAATATTTTGCTTATTCACTGGAAAGTTAAGCATTTTGCAAAACAAAAAAATCAAATTAAATATATTATGTAGCAACAACTTCAATCAAATATGAATAGGAAATTGAAATTATTAATAAAATTGCTTGAACATAAATCGCTTGACCTATTTTTATAATTTACACATGATGCTAGTAAAACCACCAATTATACTATCTTATTGGGTCATGAATAAAACTATTTTTTTTTTTTATCAAAAGTCTTACCGTGGTTCTGGTGGCGAGCATCGTCCGGTGTGGAAAGCGACAATGTAAATTGTCATGCTGAGGAGCAGGATGATGCACAAAATCAGCCGCAGGAAAAACCACGTCCTCACGCGCTCCCAGTTCCTGTCCAGCAGCACTTGGCAAAGAGGGTGTTGCAGAAATTTGCTCTGCTCGCACGTCACGAAACAACTCAGCACCGACAGTTTGAACTCGTTTGGCGATTTTTGTAATTTGGTGAAGTCGAACACCAACTTCTTGGTGTCGCCTTCTTCCTGCAGACGAATCCGCGAGTCCAGCATCGGTTTCATGGCCTCGAGAGCGCGCGGGATTTTGCTGCTGACCAGGGCCAGGGTGGTCAATGAATGATCCAATGACTGGGCGGTCAATGAGGCGCCCTTTTCGATTAAGACCTCGGCGGTCCGCACGCTCTTCGACAAGGCGGCCACGTGCAGGGGTGTGTGATTGGTCTTCTGAAGGACGGCGTCCACGTTTGCACCCAGGTCCACCAGCATTCGGGCAACCTAAAAAATAATTTCAGATATTCAAATGAGGAAATAAACAAAGAGTGTACATTTTGGTGATTTTCATTATTAAGTGAAATAAATACATATTATAATTTTTTATCCTAAAAAAAAGATCTACTGAAAATATTTTTTTTAACAAGATGAGGTTATTTTTTATAACACAGAAAAATCAATTTGTGAATTTAGAATGTGCTAATTACAGAAGAAAAATGGTTTTATCTTTTAAAGAATAGCTTTATTTATTTAAATTCACTAATTTTATGTTTTTAATTAAATGGTTTTTTAATATTTTACTTCAAAAATTTTTATGTTTTCAATATTTTTGTTAATTTAAATAATTAAAGATGAAATTGAATTATTTGAATTTAAACATTTCAACATTTAAGCAATTAATTTGTCTATTAAAGTAAAACTCTTGACTTAAATTATTACATATTTTCTCCTGCATTTTCCCCCTACAAGAGTTGATTAAATTAGTCTGCACTGCATTGTTCCGTCGCAAAATTTATTAAATAAATCGGATTTATAAAAAGTAAAAAAATAACAATCACTTTACCTCTGGAAGGTCCTGGAGTGCCGCGATGTGTAGCGCTGTGTGATGTGGTGTGAACTCACTCGGACGATTCAGTATTTGGACAAGTTCAATAGGGCTCACGGTCTCTTGCAAAAAGTGTATCACCGTTTGCAGACATAGCACGTTCTTGTGGAAAATGGTAAACTGCAGCAACGAGAAGCCGAGGATTTGGGACAAGAGCCAATTTCTGCGCCCCTCGGTTGGTTGCAGAATGACTTCGATACATTTGATGTGGCCGCACACGATGGCGATTTGCAACGCGTTCAGGTTGTTGCACACGTAAGTGGGCGCCGCGTCGTTGACGCACTTTTTTAAAATCTTCCCCAGGGCGTCGGCGTTTCCCTTGTAGGCGGCGTACACCAGCAGGGCTTTGATCCTGCACTCGTCGGCGCTTTGCAGCAGTTCGGCCAGATTCGATTTCGAAAGAGTGTCATCCCTGTCAAGCAGACCTTTTGATTCCAGTAAGGCCTTCAGGCTCGCTTCAAGGTCGACCAGGTCAATGGAAATTTTATTTATGGGCGATACCTCGGATGTTCTTGTTGGTGTCAGAAATCTCCTTTAAAACAAATTTAGATTAAGAGGATTGTTAAAATTCAATCAAATTTAAAATTGATTATTTATAAATTGCAAATTTTAAAATTATTATTAAAATTTAACAATTTAATTACACTCGAAATTCTTAAAATAATTGAAATTGAGCCCGCAAAAAGCTGCTGTCAACATAATAGAAATGCTCTTTTAAATTCTAAAATTATACAAAAATATTTTACGCAATAAATGCAAGAAAATATACCAATTTGAAAAAATGTATGAATCACACTTACGGCATTCGAAAATCAATTTGTGGCTTATCGTGGTGTATATCATCGCGTCGGTAGTCCTGCAGACGAATATTTTCGTCACTCAGTCCCAAATCTCTGGAAGGCATCGTCTAAAAACCAGAAAAAATTAAAGCTCAATATTCCTCCAATTTTGCTTTCAACTGCCGTTTCCATGTGTGTTTCTAAAAAATGACTCGCATAAACATCTTTATCTATTTCAAGCGCTTACCGGTTCATCGACTTCAATGTTGCCGCCTCGAAAGAAGTGTTATTGGCACTGAAATTGCAAAAGTCTTACGCCTTCTTTAGTCTAATGTATTGGCAAGTCACGCGCTGCATTTCCTTGCAGAGATTTTGTTTTCGTTTTACTCTCGCCAGTCAGCCGGTAGAAGAAAATTCCCATCGAAATCCCCACCCAAATTTTTATTACATGTTTCGTTCTGCCTTGATGATTCAAACAGGAAAGGATGCAAAGGGTTATTACAGAGTCGCGGCTCGCGCCATCTGAGAAGTATTCGGCGCATCTGACTTTAGTAGGTGTCTATTGAAATTTTCTGTTGCATAAAATGCGATAAATGTCAGAATAGTTCAAACAATTATGCATAATTATTGATACCTAATTAATCTGACAAGGTATTTAAAAGACACGCGATTTGATTATTTTAATAATTTATTGTATTGCTTTGATGTGGGTTTTGGATGCAAAGAAATAATTATTTATTAATATTTAAGAATAATCCAAACGTTCGCTTTACATTCTGATCTTTTTTTATGGAAATCAAATTAACTTGATAATGACCTATTTTCTTCTTCTACAGACCAATAAATAACGACAATTTTTTTTATTGGCTTTGAGCAATCATTTTAATATCAACAACGGTGGTTCTGTTGCCAAACTCGCAAATCATTATTCACTTATTTTGGCACAAAAAGTTTGTTCACCTCAAAATATTTGCTGCAATTTATTTTCGCAACAAACTGCTACATAAGGCGGGGCCTGCTGATAAAATCAGGCCATTGTTGCCCATTGTTTGATTTTAGAGTTGGAAATTCTCCTTTACATGGTTTCAAGGGTCAAAAAGGGCAATCGCTCCCTCCTTTTCTGGTCCCTCTCCATAATTTTTATCGCATATTTTTATTGGGCAATTTTAATTATTATTATTATTATAGAGTATGAAGCTAAATTTACAGCAGTTCCTAAATCATAAAAAACATACTAAAAAAGTATTTAAATAAATTAATGGGCCTTCGTTTTGTTGATAAAATTGTGTTGCATACACAACTAATTGAATTTAAGGATGTAGGAACTGCAGCTTATCGCCAGGGTCGTGATTTTCGACACATGCATTTTTGTCACTTTCGATTATTTGCTGTTTGCAAGTGCGGCGGTGACGGAAACGCAGGGTTGAGCGCGCAAACTGTGACCATGGCAGTCGTTGGTGGGTGGGAGAATTGCCTAGTGTTATATAGCACAGTGTGATCGAATCAATAACCGTCAATCTGTGCACACAACTTAGCCGATTCGCTCTTAAACTTGCCTCGATATTTACCATGAAGGCCCTCTTTTCATTTCTGGTAAGTGTTTAAAATCTTAAAATATTAATTGATTTATTAATTGCCTGTTAAAAATTGTTCCAAATATATTGAAAACTTTTCATTCAAATGTAAATTATTTATAATTTATTGCGCTATACCTTGTTTTTTTTTTTAATATATAATTTACAACAAGTAAACAATAAATTTGGCATTAAAAATTATAAAATTATCTTATTAGTTGGAACACTAATATTTTAGAATTAAAAAAATATACATAAAACTTACAAGTCGTATGTAAGATCTTTCTGCTAATTTTTTATTATTGAAAATTAACGTATTTAAAAAAAATATTTTTAAATAGAAATTAAATCACAAAAAGTTTCAAAGATGCTTAAATTTTATTAAAAAAATGTGCCTCTTTCTGTAAACAAGTAAAATTGAGGCAAAACTGTATTTCAATTATTGCAAACTTTTTAAAATTCCGAGGACTGCAAAGTAGCGGAACCAAGGCGCCGCGTGCACCGGCATACAAATAAGCCTGTTTTGCTTCTAGTCCAGCTCTGTCAGGTGCGGTACCGGCGTGTGACACAAATAATATTCTTCCACGCCCGAGATAATGATATGCGCGCTCACTCACAATACAATCTCGCATTGTTTTGAATTTGAGCCGAAATGAAAATTTCCTCCACAGGTGATCTTGCCCTTCCTGGCGTGTCTGTCCTCCTGCTTGCCGACCTCTTTCGCCAACGGCCCTGACGCCGCCGCCGCCGACCTGGTGCTCAAGAAGCTCAACCTGACCGCCGAATCGCGACTCGGCGGCGTGCTGGTGGCCTACCTGCAGGCGCGACGCAACACCACGCGTTGGCGGCCGCGACGCAACGTGACGCAAGCGCTGATGAACGCCATTGGTGCTGGAAACAGGGGACCGTCCTCCAACGAGGACGACGATTACTATTACGACGAGGAAGAATACCCTGACATTGATCTTTCGCCAGAATCCATTCTGATTTACGTCCTCGAGCTCTTTGGAACAATGATCGGACTCACGTGGGGTGCCGTTTCGACCCTTTTTGGTTGAGAAAAGTTTAGATTAATTTTCTCAAACTTAAAATAAATAAGGCTGTGATAGTTCAAAATAATTTTAGGAATATAAAAACTGCAAGTTAATTGTGCAGAACTTAATATTTTTTATAATTCAATTGCCAAAATTCTTCAAAATATTTCTATTGAAACGGTTGGAAGAAAATTAGATTATGAAATTAGTCAACATTCAATCATCAACATTTTTGCTTTAAATTATAATTTTTTTTTAAGTCTTGTTCTTTTTGATTTTGTATTTTATAAAGAAGTCTCAACTCAAGTAAAATTATTACTGACTAAATTTTTACTTAATGAGCTTCCCGGTTTACTTATTTGCTGTTTCAATTTAATATTTTCACCTCTCTGGGAAACAGTGTAAATACTTACGTTGGTTTACTCCATTTACAGAATTGGAATAAAAACGTGTGTTATGTTGTGCCTTGAATGTGTGCCTTGTGCAGATGATACTACTTGTATGATGTCTGTTTTATCTCACCAATTTAAAATAAATAGGTCTCGGCGCCTGCATAACCGAGAGGCCTTGCGCAATCATGTGGGCAATAAAAACACTTCCCATCTCATCGAAACACGCATTTTTATTATTTGCAAATTCCATCGAGATCAAATAACATCAAATACGGAATTGGAAAACAAATTTATAATTTATTGTACAATCTTGATACATTATGAAAAGTGTCTCGATTGGACTGTCTGTCCGGCGTGCAGATACGGTGACGCTGCTTCTTGCAAATACTGAAAATAGCTTGGCTTTGCTGTTGTCCCAGTGTTCCCTGTGTTTTCATCCACTCGCCTAAATATTTATACCCAATCAAAATTAAAGACTAAAAATTCATGCAATAATTAACTCACAAGTCGTTAAAAGTGGAGCTTGTTGGTACAGCATTGGTCGGATAAACTCCTCGGATATTGTTTATTCCAAAAGGACCAACTCCAAGAGGATGTCCTGGGAAGCCTGGTAGTAATTAAATTAAACAAAAACTTTGATTATTAAAAAAAAAAATTGTTGCAAATTTAAAAAAAAAATCAAATCTTGAGGATTTGAAGCAAATAAATAAACTCATATTATTAAATCTCAATTGATTTGAAAGTTTTTTTTAATCTCAGAAAGTTCAAAGAAATTAATTAAAAGCTTCATCGTTGATTAACTTTGGCCTCTATTTGATCTCGGATCGCTAGGCACCGACCGTGATTCGTTGGTAAACGCGCGTTTCTCGGCGCACCTTCTGCGGTCGCATGCGAGACGGGCACCGCGAGACAGTCAGCTGAAATCAATGTTCGCCATAACCCTTTCCTTTCCTTCTCGCGGGTCTCGGCGAGAGCGAGAAGAGACTTTCGGCGCGTTCATGAAGTCTTGTTCGCGCGGGCACGAGCTATGGCACCGTTGTGCCGCCCGTGAGCACCAAGTGAGCACCGTCGGAGCACAAGTGCGGCGTTGCGAGTAGCGCGCGGCTCACCTCCTACCGCAGCATCCGCTCCTGAGCGTGTTGTTCAGAAATGTTGAAGGGACCGCGACCGACACGCGCGCGCGTTCGTTATGCTCAGCCAAGCAGCGCGAAATTTGCGCTACTCGGACGCCGCTGAACTATAATAATATTCGCGGTATGAAAGTACTTTGATTTTCTTCTTCAATTGTTTCAAATATTCACCAATTTTTGTAATTACACTGTTGGTTATTGTTAGTATTTGAATCATAATATAAATATGTAATTGCTTGAATTTGCACAAGTTTCAATAAATGTACAATTTTAATATCTGTTAGCTACTTAAAAGCAACACGCCTGCATTAATTTATACTATTTTACAATAATTTGGGCAACGATAGTCAATTTTCGTTGTTTACATAGTATTATTTATATAATCGATATAATCAATTAGTTTTAATTATCATACCATTAAAATAATAATTATTTTATGTGTATTAAACAAATTAATTTGAACGACGAAATAAATTTTCATAAACTCTCAGTTCAATTACATTATTATAACTATTTTCAATTAATCTAAATTCGTTTTTTTTTACTCTGAATAATTTTTTCAAATGGAATATATTATAGCAATCTGTAAATTTAAAAGATGCAAAAAATAATAAATGTTTACCAAGTGGATAGCCAGGATATCCTGGCAATCCCGCCACACCCGTGCCAGCGCCTATGGCCCCAACACCCCCAACCGCCCCAATAGGGTAATAGCCAGGGTGGGGGTGGAAATAGGCGCCGGCAGTTCCATAAGCGCCGAACGCATGAAATCCACCTGAGAAAAGCGAAGGTCGGGACATCCTGAGTAGCGCCAGCAGCCCCAAGGTGGGCAACAACCCTCTTTGGTCGCCCTGCAATTAAAAAACAAAATTGATCCAATTTGGTTGCGGCAACTGCGTTGTTCAGTGGCCTAGGTTGTATTGATCGTTCTCAATGATTAGGCCGAAAATTATTATTCCCGTTCGGGGAAATGACTTGGCACGAAATCTGCCCCTGTTATTGGTCTGGTCACGCGAAAGAAAGTGGCTTAATTTTTTTTCACTCACATTGTGCGTTTTGGATTTTTCCACCTTGACCTCACCAGCCGAGACGAAAGTCAGAAGAATTCCCTGCGAAGCACAAATTAAAACTTATTCCGATTAAAGTTTTGCAAAATTACCACCAATGTTATCACAACGAAGGCCACTCTGCGATGAGTGGGCTGCATTGTCAAAAGTCAGGCGAATACTGAACCATTCGATTTAATCATCACGCCTAGTTTGATCCAAAAGGGAAAGTGGCCCGCATCTTTGGTTCAGCCACCAAATTTATTCATTTTTGATCAGTACATTGTTGGGTAATTGCGCCAGGCAGCGGGTAATTGAAAGTTAAAATGTCATTCATTTAATTTACAATTGCGTATTTTATTATTTAAAATATACATTCATATCCACATGTTTAATGGGTAATTGAGGTCTGTAAAATTATTGATTTATTTATTAGTTGCCGGCTTTAATTTTTCTAAATAATGCTTAAATATTATTTGAAATGTGCAGTAAAATATTTAAACTTATATTTTTCAAAATTTTATAAAACTTTTTTTAATTTTTAAAGTTAAGTAATAATTTGTGAATTAAAAATATTTACAAATTATGTTAAAGTTATTTTTATTAATAATTTTTTTCTAATATTTATGATCTCTGATTGTGATTAAACTTAGATCAAATCCAAGGAAGGTCAAAACACAGCCCTCAAGGAATTGCACGATCCTTCAAGCTTCCTTGCCTCAACGGTCTCGAGACTCTTATTCTCAACAACGAGAGACTGCAATATTCCGTCAGCAGATACAGTTTCGATCCGCACACACTCAGGGAGGATCCACGCAAGCAGCGAAATTATTAATGTCCTTCGCCTTTGCTATTGATTCTCGGCGGGCCACAATTAGAATTTGATGCACTCTTGCTTTTTCCTTCCTGCGGGCGCCAAAGAAGAAGGAAGAGCTAGGCGTGTTCGTGATATTATTGGTCTCTCATCCCCCCGCACGTCCTTTTAAAATAATGAAAGAAGGGCATCGGCTCTCCACAGTCACGCTATTCGCATGGATGGGGTATCGATTGTTGTGTCACGTGTGTTAAAACAGCACACGGCGGCGGCGGCGACCGCCTTGCTCGCTCTTTGCATTCGGCCGCCGCCGCGTGTGTGTGCGGAGAGCACCCCTCGCGAGGACCATGCCATGAAGCAAATGGAAGAGGACCCCTTCAGTGCGGCCCGCCTCAAAAGGTCAGACGCGTGATTTTATTATTCCCTTTGTGCCGGCTGTTTGCGGTCCCAGCTCCTTTTGACACTGTCTCGGTGGCCATGTTCGGTAAATTATTGCCAGCGTTCTATTCGGGTATTGGAATTTTCCTACCGAGATTTCAACAAAATTTTATCTATTTTAGTATTAGAGCATTTTTTTTTTTTAAGGTAGAGTTAAGAAAACTTGATGTCATGGCAAGCATGCATTATAAATTCAAAATTTAGAAACAGAAAAATTGCGTTTCCTGCAGATGTGATGATAAACAAGTCAGGTATTGTTTTGATCAATATTGTATAGTTATTTAAATAATATATATTTAGGTTGAGAATATCTGGTAATATTATCATTAAATAAAAATTACTTACAACCAACATTTAAACTGAACTTTAGTAAGTATTTAATTTATTATTGTTTTTTTTATTAAATTTCACAATGTATTTTTCGCTTTGAATTTGAAATATTAAAAAAAAGTCGAAATTCATTTATGAAGTAGTAAAAACCATGAAATATTTCAGCTCTGATTTTAATTCAGCTAATTGGAATAATTTAATAAATCACAAGTCGTATAATTTTGATTGCTAAATGTTTGCTTATAACATTATTTTCTAACAGTTTATATATTTCTAACCTATTATATATTTTACATTTTTTAAATACAGATTCAAGAACATTGATTATGCTGCGATTTTGTTGCTTCATCCAATGGAAAACAGAACAAAGCCATACAAAGTTTGTTTATGCGCTTGTGAAAAAGCCGGTTGACGCAGATGTATCTCTCGTTGAACCCCACACACGTGGCACAAACTCACCGATTTTCTTTTGTTGCAAAACACAAAACTATCACACACAGTTTACATCAGTAATAATTTTTTTGTATCACAAACTCATTCACCAACAAAGCGGCTAAATCTGATTGAATGTCAGCGACGGCTTCCATCAGCTTGCATGTACTGCTGACATACAAAGAAGAGGATTTTTGCGTGCCTTCAGCGAATCTGATAGCATTGTCGGCTGAAGTGTTTACATAGAAGGATGGACTCTTAATAATGTAATCCACCTGTGCACCGTTTAAATGACGATTTAATTAACTGTCACGTGTAAAATTTAAAAAAAACTAAACAGTTTAAAAATTTTATAATGTGATATTCAGTGTTAAATTGCTCAGAACTTGCATAAATCTTGATAAAGGCTGAATCTGCCACGAGTATAGCCTCTTCTTTATCGATCGTGCAAAGAAAATCGAATCAATATTCTTCAAGAGGGCTGCTAATAGACTGTTGCCTCTTCTCAATTTTGGCATCGTTTGCCTTTGTCTTTTTGCTCATCACCAAATTTGCTCTTTTTGCAGACTGATTGCGGAAGCCGCCGTCAAAGAATACCTGGCCAAGGCGTGGAACACGTTGCTCGTCGGCTCAAGACAGTGGCTTCAGCACCACTCGAGGGACAGTCGAGAAGAGGTGATCGCTTTCAGAAATGCGCGCACTCCGTCCTTTGATGGTAATGGATTTGGTGAGTACAAAGTTTTTAATTTTTCTCTTAAACCCAACTTAAGCAATTTTAAAGTATTTCTTCAGTATTATTTTATGTTTTGAAGTAAATTTAAGGTTAAACAGATTAAGCCAGGCTATTTTATTTAAAACTTAAGACCATATTTAAAAAAAAATATAAATTAATTTTGAATTTTCTAAATTGTCGCAAACAAAATTGGTCATTTTTAGAAAAATTATTTTTAGGGCGGACAAAAAAGCGCCACTCATGTTTTTGCGGAAACTTACAATCTTAAAAAGACAGCATCCGCCGCTATTGAGAGACAGATTTTATTATCTCATCATAATTTTTTCCCTTTAACTATTAAATCAACATGAAAATAAGAAAAAAATTAAATTATTTTCAATTAAACAAAACTTTTTAGGCATGTTAAAATTAAAAAATTAAATGGTTTCATTAAATTATTGCCACAGTAAAAAAAATAGAGTCAAATTAAATTGAGGAAACAAGTGCATCATAATGCAATTTGCCCTCTCCGTATCCACCGTAAATTTATCAACTTTTGGGCTACAGAGCAATCGTGTGGCGTTCTCCGAGTGAGCACCGTTTGCGCCAAATTAGTTCGGGGGCACCGTTGGAGATGGCGTGCGGCTACCGCGCGAGTTAATCGACCACCGTAGGCGAACATGGTCGCGCAAGGTTGGAGTGTTTCTTTTTTTAATTCGGTGTGGCGGCGGCGGCGTTGAGTTGATGCTGCTCCTCTGCATCCAAGGCGACGTCAAGCGAGAGCCTGCGTCGTGCGGCTGATCCGTCGTCAGTATGCAAATGCAGGCGTAGCGAGTCTGCTGGTCCTGCGACCCCACTCAATGGACACTGGCACGCCGAGCGGACAACATCCTCGATCATGACAGCCGTCAGAGAGACAATCGGTGAGTGCCGATTTCAACTTTCGATCTCTTCCTACCTGCAAACTCGCTGCTTTATAACTTTTATTTCAACTTTTATTGACCCGGGGTCCTTTTGCTCCCGGAACGTGCCGATTGGGCCGTCCGGGCCGCCACTCTTGCCAGGATTAACAGGTGGGCGTTCACTCAGCTGCCTGGCTGGGTGCCCAAGTTGAGCAGATCCACGCGGTGTGTGCGTTGAGGTATTGTGTCGTCCGAGTGTAGCCTTGACACACAGGCGGTGTGGGGCCCTCGCCCGCCCGCCAAACTCCGAGCCGCGCGTCTTCTTTCACGGAATTGTTGCTATTTTATTTATTTTTGTCTCTCGGGGGCTTGTTATTCATATTAATTTTAATTGTTGTGCAACGACAGAGCGCCGACCGCACGCGTTGGGTGGTTCGGCGTTGCGGTCAGGCCTGTTTTCTCGAGATGATTGTGCTCGTTTTTTTTGCGCCACACGTGAGGTGTTTTTAATTCCATTGTGTTGTTTAACTCGCAATCATCACAACTTTTCATTCGCTATGGACACTTTCACGGAATTTATTTTTGATGCAGATGAAAACTTAGATCCTGGAAACAAAAGAAATTTTACAAGTTTTTATATTAATTAAAATATCGGAGAAGCTTCTTTCTTAAATTAGCTTTTAATGATGCGTTTATAATGCTCACTTTAGCGGATGGTTTATTTTTTATCTTTGAAGTTTAGACAAAATCGTTGCTATTGGTGACGTCTTTTTGTTAATGTATCCCTCCAAAATTTTCTTTTTTAATTTAAATTTTTTAGCTTTTTCGACAAATAACATAAAAAATAATAATAATCAGAATGAAATTTGAATTTTTAACTTGAAACTCTGAGAATTAAGGAATTTATGTCACAATATGGGGAATTATTTGTTGATTTTTTTGTTTTTCAATTTCTTACCCCCTTTATATAGGCCTCTATCAAGCAGTGATTAAGTTTAACATGTGAAACCACGTTAAATTGTGCATTCTTTTTTAAATTTCCTTCCTGCATGTAAAATTCCCATAAATTTAACAACCGACTTCCGACTTTATGATATAAAATTTTTTAATATTACTTTTCACGTAAAATGTATTTTAGCTGGTAAGATAAAATGTTATTCAGGTTATTCATATCATTTAAATTGAATATTTTGGTTACTTCCTGTTAACCGTTTTTCTTCTAATCAAATAACGACATGGAAGTGGTCACTTTTTTGTCACAAAGTCGTATATGGCGAGAAAACTATACAGTAAATCCCTCTTATTCAAGTATATAATTTAGAAATGAAGTCATTTCAAAGTCTTCAGAGCTCTTGTGCATGCCAACGTATTTTAATCGAAAACAATAGAAAACTTGAACTTGTAATTAGGTCTTAATACGTTTAGTTGGATTTGCGTATCTCGCTTTGGACGTCATCGTTTGCAGCAGGAAACGAGTTCAAAGAGCACTCACGTAAATACAGCCGGTAGACGCGCGTATCCACCTTTTTTTACGTGAGAAATAAAATATTACGAGAAATCCACATTCAGAGAAGAGAGCAAAGGAACGACGTGGCTCTCTTGCTTGACAAAGCGGATACTCCAAGTTGCACAAAAAACAAACTCGTGCTGACGTCAAATGTAACAGAAGCATGTGCATAAAATTGAAAAAAAGGAAAGAGAAGAGAGGCGAGATCCACCAGAAACGTGCTCTGCTTTCTGTTTATTTTTACAACTCAAACCAAAAGGAAACGTGCATGGTGACTATTCATGAATAAATCCCTTTTTACAATTCGCCTAAATTGATTAAATTATTTTTCAGACTTCAGGGAGAAAATATAACAAAATGTGATTTATTACTTGTATTAAAAGCCATCCGACGGGGTCCTCTTACAAATGTTGGAAAATATTTCATTTTTCATAAATTAAATTAGAAAATCCATGAATTAAATCAACTACAAAAATATTTGTTTTCATTGCTATATTTTTGTAACAATTTATAGAAATTTAAAGAAGCAAAAATAAATAATTAAACAAGCAATTAAAAAAATTTTCAAAAAAATAATAATAGTATCCTCGGTATAAGTTTTGATTGATATAAAATTATTATTTTTCTCAATTAATAAAAAATAAAAATTATCAAATGACTCTTTAAAATAAAAATCTTGCTCCATTCAAATTGAGATTCTCCGTCGTGCTGCAGCCCAATTGAATTTTCTCCGCGCACACACTGAGAATTGAATTATTCGATGCAATTTTTCTTGTACGAGAGTGCATCGCGTCACCGGCTCGAGCATCCTCTCAGTGAACTGACGGCGCCGATAATTAAATTCCGCACGGGGCTCTCTCGCAGTTCATTAACTGCGAGCAAGAGTGCACTTTGCCCGCCGCACACGCCGCGCGTTCGATGATAGCACGCACAACAATATTTCCCGGCCGAGCAGTCCATTACATACCTAATTGACCTCGAAGCCCTAATTGCACCGTATTACAATAAGCACAATGCCCAAGTGCGCTGCTTTTTGCCGCTGCACTCGGCAAGTAAACAACCCGGCTTTCGTTGTTAGCAAAAGTGGCCGTTGTTGAAATCCACTCGTGCAGGCAGATACGAGAGGTGCACCTCGGTGCTGCAGTTGCTCAGGTCAGTTTTATTTTCATTGCTTATCGATGGTGCTATCGATGATGCAAGGACAAGGCCGCTCCTGCTCTAAAAATATACTAGAATATAAAACATGTTGGTATCATAAGTGCTTGGATAATGATTTCTTGTTGATTACTAGAGTAAACGTTGTGAATTAATTAAATTAATAATATTAATAATTTAGGTCAAGTTACTCTGCAATTACTGGCAGAAAGTTGCACAAAAGAGATGTATATAAAAATATATAATAATATTTTAAGTTTTTTTAATATTGATTATTTTTAATAAAACTCCACTTTATTTTCTTTTTTCTTCTTCTGTGAATTTTATTTTTATTTTTAAATACGTATCAAAAAATATCTCATCTCTCATTACCATTACACAAATTTTGCAGACATAATCCAGCAGTTTTAACGCAGTGTGAAATAAGCATCAACGGGTTGAGCAAGCTTGAAAAATTTGCCAACATATTTTTCATACTTTGTGCGTTGAGAGCGCAATAATTTCGTGGTTTACCCGCCCGCTGTGTGGGGCAAGCCTAATTTATTTTCGCAAGGCCGGAATTTGCGGAAAGTTGCTCAGGTGCCGAGAGGACGTGAATTATCGCGGCCATTACACATAACTTTACACACCGAAATAGCGGCAACTGAGAAGTCAGATCGATCAAAGCTTTAACTGCAGAGAGCGCGAAACCACAATTTAAGAGTAAAATTGTGTTAAATTTTGTTCACCCAAAAAGTGAAAAAAAAAAATTATTAGTTTTTATGCACAAACAGACGACACTTTCCTTTGCGAGTAAATGAAAAGAAAAATTAAAGAGGAGGTGTATTTTTTTGTTTCATTAAAATAAGAAAATTGCCCCAGATGCAAATAATTAAATCTCTCAGTGGCAGCAGGTGTAAATAACAAAAAACTCTGCAGCATTTTGAATCCCGACCAGTTTCAGCTTGCGGGGGGCTAACGATAAAAAAACCACAACTGCTATTCTTGCCGAGACTGAGTAATTAAAACGGTGTAATGGTCAAAAGCAATTCATTAAACGCTGCCTTCTCGTAAGTTAAATTCAAACCTTGCCGTTAAAAGTTTAAAATTTACGAGTCGTAAAATTTTAATAAGGGCGTGCGCATTCCACGTGATTCATCTTTTCGCACTCTGTGCCTTGGGCTTTTGGTCTTATCTGACCTGAGCAGCAGTTATGATTCATACACGACACGCAGCTTTCGTGAAATTTGTTTTAATCGGTGAATGTATAGGCGAGCAAAAAAGGGCAGTTTGCAATTTGGTACTTTAATCGATCTGGTCCGGCGATTGCGAACGTGGTCGGCGTAGAAAGCAGCCGGCGCCACTTATTATCTCAATTATAGAGAGCTAATTGAGATGTCAAAATATGTCGCCAACAAGGATATTATTTTCCTATGGGTGGAACCGACATGTGTGCTCGATCCAGGATCTTG